TGGATGCCCCCACTACCCTCTGCAGGCCTCCCTGAGGGGCTGTGAACTGGGAGGAAGGCAGATGTGGTCAACTCTGACCCCTGGTAGTCACCATGGGAATGACATCCCACCCCAGCCTGTCTTGGCTGCCCTGCCTGTGCCCAGTCAGCTGGGGGGGGCGCACCCTCACCCTCACACCAGACTCTAACCTTCTGGACCCTAGGCTGAAGCTCCCACCATATATTCTTAGACACAGTTCACAGTACCCACGGTGTGCAGAGGAGACCTGGTGGCACAGTGGTTAAGCGCTAGGCTGTTAACCGAAAGGTCGGCTGTGCAAACCCACCAGCAGCTCCCTGGGAGAAAGATGTGGCAATCTGTTTCTGTAAAGATTACAGACTTGAAAACCCTATGGGACAGTTCTACTCTGTCCTATAGGGTTGCTATGAGTCAGAATTGACTCGAAGGCAATGGGTTTTGTTTGTGTTTTATGGTGTGCGGGCCACTGACCCAGGCATTCCCTCACACTCTGGAGGGCCTGCTCTTGGCCAAGCCCTATTAGACAGAGCATAGAGGGAGCCCCTGGAGACATCCCTGGACAGGCGACTGACAACAGCCCACGGTTAAGCATCACTTATCATTTCGGGCACTGGCCCCGTCCACTCATACCTTTCTCTTCCTGATCCTTCACAACAGCCCCTGAAGTAACAGCTAGGAAACCCTCATTCACAGGTAAGGAAATTAAGTCTCAGAGAGGCCAAGAGGCTTGCCAGGTCCATGGTGAGCAAGTCTGCCACTCAGTCAAGATTTGAACCCAGGCTGTCTGGGATCCTCCTATTCTTAGTTACCTTGCTCCCTGCCTCCCTGAGCGACCCACCAAGGGTAGCACTGGGAGAAGACCCTCGAGTTGAATCAGCAGGGCTCATTCAGTGGGCAGGGGGCTGCGCAGTCAGCACGCTGGGCTGATTTGAAGAGTAAAAGAATCTATACCCTGGACTCCTCAGCCAGTGCCCCTTTCAACTAAGGTTGCCAGATTTGGAGAAAAAATAAATAGAAAGATAGATAGATATAGACATATATGATGCCCAGCTTAATTTGAATTGCAGATAAATAAGGAGGAATTTTTAATATAAGTATTTCCCACACATTGGATGTCCTGTATTTTATCCGGCAATCCCACTTTTAACCTCTCACCCCCTCACACACACACATTATGCCTTTTCTGAAACAGTAGTAACAGAACAATACAGAAACCTCCTAGCCTATTATGGCCCTGGCATCTATTTGTCATCTCTTCAGATGTCTCCCTAGTGTCTCCTGGCCCTGAACTGTGGCCTCTAGACCTCCAACCTGCTCCATCTTCCCTCTAGGCTGGAAGTCCTGGAGAGCTGGGCCAGCACCCTAACTGTGCTAGACCAGGACTCTTCTTGGAGGGAGGAGATGGTGGGGTAGGCCCAGCCTGGCACTGCACACTCTCCCTCAGTCCCTGCCCCCACACCTAGCTGGAGCACTTCCGGGAAGTGGTCCCTGCCCAAAGCCTGGACCCTGGTGGGGCTCAGGGCCACAAGATTGGGGTCGTTTCCTGGAATCACCAGACCTATCCTGTGTCGCCGTAGCCACATCCTTTCGCGAAACCCTAGGTTTGGTGGGCTCTAAGAGGCCAGGCCCTAGGCTGGGGCATCCTAGGGAAGGCCTTGCTTCAGTGGGCTGCAGACGTCGCCACAGCAGGAGCCTGGGCCCCTCTCCCTGGCCCTCCCAAGAGAGGAGCCAGAGGTTTCCATGATCCTGCGGCATCCTCGTTAGCACGGGGGCCACCCCAAGGCCTGGGATACTGGTATGGCTCAGGGTTGGGCTAGCCCCGAGGAGCTCAGGTCTGGGTTCACATCACCTAACAGAGGTGGTGGGGCTCTCTGCCTGATGTCCACATGGGAAAGAGGCCCTCCCTGTGATGGGGTTAGGGGAGATTTCATGGGAGATGTCACAGATGGGCCCCCAGGAATTTCAATAGATCAGAGGCTATGGGGACATATGGCAAAGGTCTGGAGGCCAAGCTGTATGGGAAATATTCCTAGAACAGCAAAAGGCCAGTGAGGCTAGAGCGGAAGCCACGCTGGGGAAAGAGAGAGACTGAGAAAGCGGGGTGTGGGGTGTGGAATGATGCGCCTCAGGGGGAGCTGGGCCTGCCATGCTGAGTAGACCTGACCCTGGGGCATAGACGGGCTGGCCTCTGAGATCTGATTGACACTGTTAATAATAATAGCAAAAATACTAATGATAATAATATTAAAAAACAGTTACTGTGGAGTTGGAATTGACTTATGGTGGCCCCATGTGTGTCAGAGAACTGTGCTCTTCAGGGTTTTCTTCCCTCACCCCCGCCATAGGGTTTTCAACGGCTGATTTTTTAGATCTCCAGGTCTTTCTTCCAAGTCATCTCTGGGTGGACTTCAACCTCTAATCTTTTGGTTAGCAGCCAAGCGCGTTAACCATTTGCATCACCCAGGAACTTCAATGATAATAATAGCAATCATTTATTGAGCCCTGACTCTGAGCTAAGCCTCTTTACATAGATTAAATCTTATTTAATCCTGGGTGCTAAGACCATTCCATGGAGAAAGAAGAGTCTCTTCAATAAATGGTGCTGAGAAAATTGGATTGCCACACACAGAAAAATGATACAGGATCCAAGCCTCACACCACACAAAAAAACAAGTTAAAAATGGATTAAGGACCTAAATGCGCAAACTAAAACCATAAAACTCTCAGAAGAGCAAGCAGGGGCAACGCTGTCAGGCCTGGCTTCCCACAGTGGATTACGTAATACAATAACCCTGATGGTGTAGCAGATAAGAGCTACGGCTGCTAACCAGAGGTTTGGTAGTTCAAATCCACCAGACGCTCCTTGGAAACCCTATGGGGCAGTTCTACTCTGTCCTATAGGGTCGCTATGAGTTGGCATTGACTCGACAGCGACAGGTTTGGTTTTGGTTTTGGTAACAAAAGCACAAACAGCCAAAGACAAAAATAAATGGGACCTCATAAAAATTAAAAATTTTGTTCATCATGAGAAACCAGTCTGCTTTATTGAAAGTAATAAAAAAAAAAAAAAAGTTTTTTTATAATTTTTGTTCAAAAGACTTTACCAAAAAGGTGAAAAGACAAGCTACCAACTGGGAGAATATCTCCAGAAACCATATATCTGACAAGAATCTAATAACCAAAATATATATAAAACTTTGACAACTTAACAAAAAAAAAGACAAATAACCCAATCATAAAATGGGCAAATGACTTGAATAGACATTTCACCAAAAAGGACATTCAAATGGCCACCAAACACATGAAAAGATGCTCCGTGTCATTAGCCATCAGAGAATTGCAAATCAACACCACAATGAGTTACCATTTCACTACTGCTAGGATGGCTAAGATTTAAAAAAAAACAGAAAATGACAAATGTTGGCTAGGATGTGGGGAAATTGGAACCCTTAACCACTGTTGATGGGAATGCAAAATGGTATAGCCACGGTGGAAAGCAGTGTGGTGGTTTCTCAAAAAACTAAAAATAAAACTACCATATGACCCAGCAATTCCACTCCTAGGTGTATACCCAAAAGACTTGAAAGCAAAGACTCAAAAACAGATGTGTTCGCCGATGCTCATTGCAGCACTATTCACAGTAGCCAAAAGCTGGTAACAATCTAAATGCCCATCAACAGATGAATGGATGAACAAAATGTAGTATATACATACAATGGAATACTACTCAGCCTGTAGGAGAAATGAAGTCTTGATACATGGTACAGTGTGGATGGATCTTGAAGACATGCTGTGCGAAACAAGCCAATCACAAAAGGACAAAATATTGTATGACCTCATTCACATAAAAAGACAAGGAAAGGCAAATGTATAGAGCACAAAGTTTATTAGTGGTTACCAGGGACAGGAGGGAGAGGGAAAAGTGGGGTTAATGGTGATGGAAAAATCATATTGATTAGCGGTAGGGTTGCACAGCCAATGATTGTAATTGTTGTCAAAAGTTGTACACTTGTAAAAAGTTGAATTGGTAAAAGTTGTGTGGTAGATACATTTTTACAACAACAACAAAAAAAAAAGAGTAAGTAGTTACTAAGGCTGCTTATGCACAACCAAAAACTTCATGGGATTTGGTTCCTTGGTTTGGAGGTTTAGGATCATGGTTTCATGGGACATCCCAGTTAACTGGCCTAATACCGTGTTTAGTGCTTCTGTTCTACCTACTAGTTCATTGCATAGTGCCTGGGGTCTTAAAAGCTTGCAAGCTGCCATCCAAGGCACAACAATGGGTCTCTATTCACCTAGAGCAACAGAGGAAGAAGGAGAGTCAGGATAGAGGGAAGAGATGGAATGTGTGACTAATTGCCTCCATGAACAACTGCCTCCTTTGCCATGAGACCAGAGGTGGATGGTGCCCAGCTACCATTACTGAACTTTTTGATTAAAGATTCCATAGGAGAATCCTGATCAAAAGGGAGAAAATGCAGAACAGAATTTCCTATTCTCAAGGACTCTAGACTTTACGGAGCCATGGAGGGTGGATGAACCCCTGAAACTATTGCCCTGAGATCATCTTTAAACCTTAAACAAAAAATATCCCCTGAAGTCATCTTAAAGCCAAACAATAGTTCAGAATAGTTCAGCTTAACTAGTAAAAAAAAAAAATGTCTGCCTTGAGCATTATGCTCTTTTAAGAACTATCTATATGGGATCAAGTTGACAACAGCAACTCAAAAGATTAGATAGGAATCTTAGGGGGCAGTGAGTTTATGTTAATGAGGGAGGAACAACTCAGAAAAGGAGGGTGAGAATGATTGCACAACTCAAAGAATGTAATATCATTAAATTGTACACGTAGAAACTGTTGAATTGGTATGTTTTGTTGCGTATATTCTCAACAACAACAACAAAATCTTATTTAATCCTCAAAACAGGTACCATTACCACCGTTATTTTACAGATGGGGAAACTAAGGCACAGAGAGGTTAAGTGACTTGCCCATGGTCACACAGCTAACAAGTGGCAGAGCTGGTGTTTGAGCCCAGGCAGTCTGGCTCCAGAGCCTGCACCCTTTACTACCTCATGAAGAGCTATTTGCATCCAGAAATGTGCATAGGGCAGAGGTTCCCCCTAGGAAAAAAGGGATCGGGCTCCATTTCCCTCTCTGTGGCATTCAAGCTCATTAAAACCTGTCTGGTGGACTGGGGTGGGGCCCTGAGAGCCCACCTCAGTCAGTTGCCCTGAGGCCAAAACCCCTAGTGCAAGAGGGGCAGCCGCATCAGGACAAGAGAGAAACAGCCCTGTAAACAGGGCTGGCTTTTCCACCTGCCGTTCACTCTGCAAGCACAGTCCTAGAGGCACGAGCCTTTCCAAGCTGCGCTGTTTGCCCAGACAGGTGACCACAGCGTTTCCAGGCGTCAAGGCCTCTGAGTACAGGCTAACATTGCCCCCTGGTGTGCATCCTGGGAAAGGCACTGGCCTCATGAGTGCTGGTCTCTGATATGGCCAGACAGGTCAAGGGCAACGATAATTCTCTACAACTGGGGTTTAGAACCTGTATCCTCATGCTCACCAGGGAAAATTCAATCCCATGCAATCATCACATAGCCAGGTCGCTAGGGCCCAGCTTACTTACTGAAGGAGAAAGGGGTGTCTCCCACCTACTCTGAGGACACCCTATGGCCCCAGCTTCTGGTCTACATGGCCTCTGGGGGCCTCGGGAGCACTGGAGAAGACCCCTTGGCAAGGACTGGACTTCAGTCTTTGGAATGTGAAGGTTTGGAGTCATTGTAATGTGGGGGTTAAAGGAAAAGGGGCCCCTGACATAGGCTAGTGAATTCTCAGACACTTCCCAAGCACTGGGCTGGGGCCCTGGGCGGGGGTCCGGTCTGGCTCTACCCAGAAAGCAGAAGGAAGGGCCCAGCGAGTGCCTCCAGAGTAGGCTGGCTGAGATCCCTCCCCCAGCAGGCAGGTGGAGGTCACTGGGTGAGGCCAGAATGGGAATCCTCATCCCACGCCCAACCCTCTTCCACGCATGGTCTTAATTTTCACAAAGTTTCTGGGGTAGACAGGACTGGAGCCACTCACACCCATGTCACAGATGTAGACACCAAGGGTCAGCGAGGAATGGCAGGCCCAAGGTCATTCATTCAGTGAGACTCAGAGCCAGGCCTGGAAACTGGGCCGCCTGACTCCTGGGCCGGTGCTCCGCCCATACGCCAGGGCAAAGTCCAGTGCCCCAAGTGGGGTTGGACCTGCCCCAGAACAGAGCATTAGAGTGAGGCAGAGCAGTGCCCTGCCCTCTCTGGGCCTGGGGAGGCCACAGAGCTGACTTCATCTCCCTGTAGGGCACAGTGGCCTCAGGTGTCCAGCAGCAGGTAGGCTACTTTCTCTGGTAGGAGCTGGGGGCCTTGGGACTGCAGGCAGTCAGAAAGTCTGGGGTTGAAGCTGAAAGGGTCCAAACTACTGCATCATCTGGGAGGAACTGAACGCCTCCATCTCTGTCCCTGCCTCTGCCTCCGCCTCCGTGCAGCACCTCTGGGAGCAGAACCACAGGAAGAGGAAGAAACCTGCAAGCATAAGGCTGGTCAGCGGGACCATGATAGGAGCAGCGTGGGTCTCACCCAGAATCCAAGGACCTCCTGGCTGGGGTGAAAGGAGCCCTGGTGGTGGTCGGCTGCTAACCAGGAGGCTGGTGGTTCCAACCCACCCATTGTCTCCACAGGAGGAAGACCTGGCCATCTGCTTCCATAAAGATTACAGCCAAGAAAACCCTATGGGGAAGTTCTACTCTGTCAGATAGGGTCGCTTTGAGTTGGAATCAGCTGGAAAGCACCCAACGACAACAGGGCCCAGGAGTAATTCCCAGAATCCCTTCCTGTTGGAGGCCAGAGGGGTGGGGCATAGGAGCGAGAGGACCAGGCCACTGCCAGCTCTTAGGGTGCCTCTGTGCAAATTAGAAGGCAAAGCCCCTTCCTCTGGGTAGACCTGGTCCCATCCCAGCTTGACAAGTGGAGCTGAGGGCTGGATTTCAGCCCCCCCCCCCCACTAGCCCCTCAGCCGGACCCTTTGGCAGTGAACATCCCGCCCCTGTATACAACCCCCTGGGGATTCCTCTGGGGTACCCACAGGCCCTACCGTAAAGCGAGTTAAAGATGGTGAAGAGGAAGAGCTGGGGCAGCAGGAAGATGCCAAAGGAGAAGAAGGCCAGGACCCAGGTGGTGCCCAGCAGCACAGTGAGGCCCAGCACAGTGACGGCATCCCGGCAGGCCCGGGCACCAAGCGCCTTCTCCCGCGCCCGCAGCCTGCGTAGGACCTGCAGTGCCCAGGTCAGTACCACCAGGTTGAAAAGAGACGTGAGGCCGCCGTAGCCCATGACCAGTACACTCCGCACCTTGGGATTCTGCACCCAGCATCTGCAGGGGAGGGGTGAAGTGCCAGGGTTGGTGGGGGACCCCGAGGCAGGGGGAGGGGGGGACACCAGGGCCATTCGGACTCTGAACTACCACTTGAACCTGGTCTTGTCTCCCAGCTCAGGCCCCATTGTTTCCTTCTGATCGCATGCTTAGTAAAGTACTGGGAGCAGCTTTCCAGCCAGGCCACCATGAAGGGGCCCACCTGCCACCTCGCCCCCTTCCAGAAGACCCCCATGCCCTCCTTTCCAGCCACACCGGTCTCTCCCATGACTCCATGCTTATACTCACCTGAAAACTTCCTCCCCTCTCTACATCTGTCTAGCTCTACTCCCTTCTAAGGCCAGCCCAAATGCAACTTGCACAATATTTTATTGGCTCATTGGCCTGAGACCCTATTTCCTGGAAACTGGCCCTTGCACTCCACCACATGGTTATCACCATCTTTGTGCAACAGGACACCCCATCCCATCTCCTCCCCCTCCCCACCTAGACTGGACCAGCGTGTCCCTTCCCTGAGCAGTGGATGGAGAGGTTCCAGCTGCTTCTCTGGGTAGGGCACTGCCAACTCATGGCTTGGTGTAGGGGTGCTCTCCATGTGTGGACTGGGCAGCAGAGCAACAGGAGGAGAACGCCACCGAGGTCCAAGGAAAGAGCTAGAGAGAGGCCTGATGGTGGCTCCAACCCTGGTCCTAGACCCCCCGTAAAGCCTGGCTGCCTTCATGCCCATTGCCTCCCAGACACCCTCGAGACAGGTACCACCATTTACCAGGTGAGACACAATGTTGAATGCTTTACATGGGGTATCTCACTCAACCCTCAGGACAGCCCTATGAGGCAGGCATGTTATCACTCCCATGTTACAGACGAGGAAACGGAGGCTCAGAGAGACGGAGAAATTTGCTCAGGAAGACACACTAGTAAGTGGTCCTACCAGTGCTCTGAGCCCAGAGCCTGTGGCCCCGACTGTCACCACTACCTGCTTAGGCTCCCGCCACGGGCTCCTGCTGCTGCAGTCACAACGTTCTTTTGGGGAGTCATCCAAGTTGATGAACATAGTCATGGACCCTTTGTTTTCACTGCTAGACCATAGTTTATTGGTGACTCTACCACAAGTTATTACTCCGGTGTCCTATCAGTGGGCATTTGAGTTTCAAGCTTCTGTTCTATTGATGTTTTTGTTTAGGAATAGTGAACTAGTTTTAAAATGCAGAAGGATAAAATCCACGAAAATCAGGGTAATGGTTTTCTGAAAGGAGAGGGTGGGGTGAGGAAGACTCGGGGAGAAGCTAGCTTTCAGGGTGGGGGCTCTCTAAGGTCCATACATCAACGTGCTTCCTATCTGGTGAGCTTCACTTATATTCTTCTGTCCACATTACATATTAGATAACACAGTACACATCTGAAGTGTTCCTAAGTCACACTTCTTCTGATAAGCCAGCCCCAGCTCTGGCAGTAATAGGAAGTAACCCTTCCACTCAGCCCCAGGAGCCCTCAATTGACTCTACCGAGGGGGCCACATAGGACAGTGACTGGGTGGTGGGCTCTGGAGCCAACCAGCCTGGAATCACGTCTCAGCTCTACCATTAACCAGCTGGGTTACCTTAGGCAGGGTTCTTAAGTTGTCTGTGCCTCGGTTTCCCTAACTGTAAAATAGGACTGACAATAGGACCTACCCCTTATTGTGAGGATTAAACAGGCCAATACATAGGTGCGTTCAGAGTCAGCCCTCAGCCATCTTGAGCTTTCCTCAGCCAAGGAAGGAAAGAGGGTGAGAGGGCAACCACTGATGATGGCTGTATGGGGTTTATTTTGCGAGTCTATGTTTGGCTCTTAGAACTTTTTCACAATTTAAAAAAAAAATGTTTTTAATGCCCTACGTGGTACAGACAGTTAAGCACTTGACTACTAGCCAAAAGGCTGGTAGTTTGAAGCCAGCCAGAGGTGCCTGGGAAGACAGCCCTGGCAATCTGCTTCCAAAAGGTCACAGCCTTGAAAACTCTGTGGAGCACAGTTATACTTTGCACACATGGGGTCAACATGAGTCCAAGAAGGCAGTGGGGTCTGTCCCCCACACCAGACTCCCCTAGAAGCCTCTGCTGCTTCTCCCTGTGCCCGAGCCAGTCCCTGCGGTGTTCTCTTCACCCCCTACCTCCATCCCCGGCCCAGTCCCACAACACTCTCTTCTCTGACTAAAAGAGTTTGAGGGGCCTGCCCCATCCTCACTCTCTTCTCAGAGAATCTGCCCCACCCAAGGCCTGCTGAGCGGACAGAGCCCAGGACCCAGCTGCCTCCCTCACTGGACCTCGGGGTGGCAGTGAGAGTGGCAGGGGGTGCAGGAGGTGGTGGGCACTGGAGCTGGGCAAGCGGAGTAAGGTGGTTGGAAGGGAGGAGAGTGGAGATGGGTACAAGCTGAGCTAGACCAAGGGGCATGAGAGCTGGAGGGTGAGGTAGGGCCATGGCGGCTATGTGGTGCTGGGAGTAGGCCTGGCTGCACCTGCCCTGGTCTTGGAGGCCCATGAGCAGGTCTTGGACCCTGTTCCACAGCTTCCTAGGGTTGCCCGGAGTAGAAATGAGCCTGTCCCCCTGCAGGAGGCTTTCCAGATCCAGCAGAAGGGATGTGGCAAAACCCCTGAGAAAACTCCCCCATCTAAGCCATAGTTCCCTCTTCACCCCACAGCGAATGCCCCACCTACAGGACACCCATCCAGATCTCAGGCCCAAGTGGCCCTTCGGCCAGAGCCAAGGAACCTGCTATAGCCTGAGACACTCACATGGATATGTTCCGGAAGGCCGTGCCATTTTCCTGACTGATGGAGAGTGGTCCATACACTGAGCTTTTGACAGCAAGGAGGAGCAGTACCAGGATGGCAGGAACCCCTGAGGGGGCGGGACAGAGGCTCAGGAGACCCCAAAGAGGGGCTGGCCCTGAGTCTCTGGGGCTGCTAAGACAGAATTCCACTGGGTAAAGGGGGTGGAGATTATTCTGAGCCCCAGCCACTGTCATGTGGTCCAGCTTTAGAGTAATTAGCATTGCAGTCTTGGAAAAGGATCTATGATGGTTTTAGTGATGGCTCTATGGCATAACAGTTAACAGTGGTAATAGTGGTCACACTGGGGAGGTGGTGGCACAGAGCTAATGGGAGAGGTTTGGGAACTGGGGAGGAATAGAGATAGTAAAGACAGGAACTAGGATTGTAGTGATAGAGATGGTGGTAAAGACAAAGATGAGTATGGTAATAATGATGGAGGTGGTGGTGGGGATATAGTGAAAGTGGTAGTAGAGGTGAAAGTACTGGTGATGGTGGCGTTGGAAGTGGAGGAGATGATGGTAGTGGTAATGATGCTGTTGTAGATGGAGGTGGTGAAAGTGATGGTAGTAGCGATGGTGCTGTTGGTGAAGGTGACGGTAGTGGTGATGGAAGTGTTGGAGGTGGAGGTGGTGGAGGTGGTGGAGATGATGGTGGTGTTGGAGGTGGAGGTGGTAGAGGTGATGGTAGTGGTGATGGTGGTGTTGGAGATGGAGGTGGTGGAGGTGATGGTGGTGGTGATGGTGGTGTTGGAGGTGGAGGTGGTGGAGGTGGTGG